GGAGAGGCGTGGAGAGTGGGAAATGGGGATGATTCTTACCACCTCCACCTCTTTTCCTTGCTGTCATGTTCAAAGCATCCTTCGGGGAAACTTCTGCCCCCAAAAGAAGCCCCAATCAAACCTTTACAGAAACCGGTCAGCTGGCTGTGTTTTTGTTCAATGACCGTCAGGAAAGTGACATGCTCGCTCCCTAATTTCCCCTGGTCACTGGAGGAAAGCCCAGTCCTCACCAGCTCGTTTCCGGAACAACGGTGTGTGCAACAGCACAGCACTGCTGAGTCCCACGCTGCCGCGGGCTTTGACGGTAGTAATGATCTCAGCAGTCTGCAAGGGTCCTGCACGTACCCACCCTCAGAAGATGGCAGCCCCTTTCAACGTAGCTGGGCTTGTAAATGTTTTCCACAAGGGAAGCATGTGTACAACGCCTGAAAAACCAACCCACCGTAGCATGCTGATTTCCACTCGCACAGATCCAGAAGGGCTCCCAAGCCTCTACATCAGCCAGCCTCATCTTTCTCGGAGCGTGGCTGGAGGGCTCGAGCTGCCGATTTTTTGGTAGGAAGGTGAGTGTTTCAACCGCAGTAGCCAGAGAACAAAAATAAATCTATGTGTAGCCTTTGCTTGTCCTAAAACATGACCTCTGGTGGAGAGCCAGGGGCCCTGCCTATGTCTTTCTCTCTTTCATCTAATGATATTTTTAGGGAAATTTTACATGGTGAAATACACAGCGCCTCACAGTTTCTACACGTAGTAACCAGGGGCTACATTCTTCACTTTGCGTCAACAGTCTCGTGATTTCTGTCCAGTTGTTTCACCCAATCTCCCTGTCCTCCACACTCGGCTCTCTGCTTTAAAATGATGGCTAGCTCTTTGGTCTTAAGTAATTCTTTTTTCCTTTTGTCTTTTAAAAGAAACACAACACTCAATGGTGACCACCTTTCCTCTTTGGTATAAAGTGTTACTTCATTGAAAGATCATCTAAGCATCTGGTTTTGATTCAAGGTTTAAAGAGTAAGCCAGGCCTATAGTCTCTAAGATTCCTCTGGTCTCAATAGATCCAGTGCCCAATCCAAGTATTAAAGGTGACCGTTCATGGTCTGGACCTTGGAGCATGTGGTAGTTACATAATCTGGTGTCAATTTGAGAAAATAACGAGTAAAGGGGTGGAGGATGGCCTGTCAATCAAGATATAACCAATTGAGGCCTCTGTATGGGCATGGCTTTCTCCTGAGAATTTTGGTAAATCTGGTTTTCCCTCCGTGGAGGCGGGAGAGACTCTCTGCTCACTCCCTGAGAGACACTCTACTGACAAGACAGATGTCACTGTGCTGATCGAGCCCGTGCCTTGGGAACTGGAGGAGCCATGTGGAAACCCCTGTCTGCGCTGAGATGCTTCTACCGCCACTGGATCCCAAAGACTTTCTATCCACTGGCCTGTGATAATTCTGCATTCGGTGTCATTGCATGTAGCTCATGAGTCTGAAGAGGACTTTATAGATTGGTATTGGACATATGAGCTAATATCAGACTTATGGACTTGATCTTGACTGAGCTGGGATGTGTTCTGAATATTCCATTGTTCTTGTATATAAACCTCTTTCTTATACACATATGAATGTCTATGGATTTGTTTCTCTAGTCTACCCAGACTAACACAGAGCAGAACTACTTTTTTATTAACATTTTAATAAACTTATTAGAAAGACTACTCTCAGGCCCTTACCCTTATTCACTAATTAGGCTTCAGTGTGAGTGAATGCCAAGTGATCGTATCAGATCACAAAATGGAAGGTGATCACATAATATCCCACACCAAAACAATGCCCTAGCCAAGTGGAGGAAGAACCCACCGTAACCATCACAGTGCCCCATCCACAGCTTGTCAACGTGGAACCTGTACACATCTCCTTAAACCACATAAATCTTCAACTAGAGACTATTACAAAGTCATACCTGCACTTAACATGATCTTATCATAATTAATGGAAATGTATAGATATATGATTATGTGCATATATATGTTTTAAAAGTTTGTAGCAAGAGTCCATTATCTTTTGATTCTACTTTTCCACAAAGCCCCGTCGTGTGCATGTATCACAGTCGTCTTGGAGAATACATACACCACCAGACCACTGCTGGAAATGCCGACCTCCAATGTGAGGCTCTGAAAGCAAATGAGGAAGACAGCCCCGGACACCAGAGGAAGCATAATGCCTCCCGCAGCGACCAAGAACTTGCCGGACCTGTGTTCAAACATTCGCTAGAAAGTAGAACTTCCAGGTGATGAACCTGGATACGTGGTGATGAGAGCTCTCAACAACGCCACCCGGGTTTCTTCTTGCCATTTCTAGTGCAATGTGAGTCAACAGAGGGGCCTTAAAACCGATCTCTGAGAAATGGGGCAAAATGTAAACTGCAACTAAATTCGCCTGTACAAACTCAGGACGTGTCCGAGAGGGTTTATGAAAGGCAGGCCACACAATCCTTTGTCATACAGTAGTTGTCTCTGATGGATCTCACCAACGACCAGAGCGGAACGTCCATTAGACTCTATTGAAGTGAACAGACAAAGAGTGAAAGGAGAGGGCGCTGTTTGCCTCTCAGAAGCCTGCAGCCAGGAAACAGGCCAAAGGAGCTACATCTGTTGTCCTCATCCTAGAGATGAAAAGAACTATCCCTGGAGGAGCGCAGGGAGCCACAGAAACGTTGGGAAAGAACAGAGAGAGCAGAGCTGCCAGGTCTCAAAGGGTAGGGCTGGGCTTCAAAGGGTCAGCTCTTCACCAACGCAGTTCCAGAGTTGGCCAGGAGGGTGAGGCTACTGCCTAACGGTGAGGGCTTTGGGCTGCCAAGCCCAGCGGGCAGACAAACAGAACCTGCCAAGGTCAATGCTGCAGCCTTACAATTTTCTGATCCTAACTTATGATAACCTGCTAACTTCGCTAGTAAGCCCTCATTATTGTGTTAACCTGAGTTCAATGTAGCCATGGTAACACATGCAGAACGCAGCAGAGAAACAGGGTGTCACTGGAGGGATAATGGTGTCAGAACAGGGTAAAGAGTAGAGGAAGAAGGCATGTTTGACCTCTGTTTTGTGGCCATAGGCCTTGAGCACGTTTGAAAGTAGATTTTCCCTCTCCTTACGGCACCCAAGGCATTTCCTCCGTAACTTTGGGGGTGATGGTACACCCATTTTGGAATGAGACGTTGTGGCAGTTACATAATATCCTGTCAACTTACAAAGGGGTGGAGCCTCACCTATCAGGTCGCAGCTTGATTATCTCATTTGGAGGCTGAAGGAGATAAATAGCTCGCTGGAGGCGGGACACACACTCTCTCCTTGACTCCCTGAGAGACATCCCTGTTGACAAGACACATGGAGCTACACTGATGAAGCCAGAACCCTGGAGCTGGAGGAGCCACGTGGAGACCCACACCAGCACTGAGAGGCTTCCACCACCACTGGATCCACAAGACTTTCCACCCACTGGCCTGTGATCTTCCTGCACTCGGTGCCGTTGCATGTGTTACGTTGAGTCTGAAGAGGAATTTATAGACCCGTATTGGACATATGGGCTAATATCAGCCTTACAGACTTGAAATGGACTGGGCTGGGGTGTTTTCTTAATATACAATCACTCTGTAATATAAAGCTCTTTCATATGCACAGATCAGTGTCTCTGGATTTGGTTCTCTAGTCCACCTGGACTAACACAGCTACCTACTTTGAAAAATGAGGCAAGATTAATGGAGGGTGTGGCTTCAGTCAATCTCTTTTAAATGGTCACACACACCATCCACACAAACTGTTGGGCGGCAGAGATGAGGGGGAAAAGGGCAAGGGCACAAGCATAGTCCTCAGAAGAAGGTCAGGGGCACCACAGTCCAGAGCTGGGAGAGAGAAAGAGAGCCCCACTAGAGCCAGCTTCCTGAATTCTGGATTAATGGCCTTTCAATCATAGCTGATATGTACAATTACTTCCTACCTGATGAGTCTGAATAAATATCTGGCTATGTAGATCGGTGAATGTAAAATGTTTCCAATACCTTTGTTATATCAAAGACAGTAAAAGTGGTCCTACTCACGCCTCATGGAGCTCTGAAAGAATTTTAAATCATCACTCCTTGCTCTCAGCTCCTGTTCGACATCTTATGTATGCCGTTTACTTGACTGCTAGCATTTACTTCCTGATCTTATTTTCTTATTACTGATGTGTGTTCATCCATCTATACATGTACACCCATAGATTATACATAGAGTCATCATACATATACATATACACGCACACACATTTTACTTTCTTATACGAGTGGATCTTAAGGAGACAGCTTCAATTTCTTTGTACCTCACTTCCACTCCTCCAATGCCTAGGATAATGTCTGACACTTAGCAGGTCTTCCACAAATCTTTCTTTAATGGATTGCATTTGCCTTGACAGTATTCTATCAGAGAAAGAAATGTCCTTGATCTAATGCTTTACATAACCCGATAATTTACATAACCAAGTGTCCTTGTTTGCAGACTATAATTCTTTACAAACCACACCTGTGTATCAAATATCCCCTGTATCAAAGTTATGCTGATTAGACCATACAATTTAGCGGCATCCTTCCACCTTTTAAGTAACGCCTGAAGCTGTTTTTGTCCTGTCCTGAATCTCAGGAACTCCTGTCATATTCTGAAAGGCATCAAAAACAACCACCGAGAGTAACAGTGGCAGTAAGGGAAGATGGTATTCTCCGGAGTTCTGCTCCGGAGTCTGCCTGCTCTGGGCTCATCGCTGCTCTGGGCTCCTGCTCAAATGGTGGCATGTCTCTACATCCCATGGCCACCAGAACACCTAGGAGCAGCTGGGCAACAGATTGAAGGATCGGGTCATCAAGTCGCTAAGTGTTTGGTACCTGGCAAGGATCCTATGAAGGAGAGCACAGCGTCGCATGCTGGGAAAGCCTGGCCTTTCCCTGCCACAGCAGAGCTTGTCCAAAGAAGTTCAATCACCCACCTTGAAGCTCTCCACTCCGACTGTACAGCTCCCTCCTCTGCTCTCGCAAATAGGCGCTCATGCTGATGGCGTGGGAGGACGATTCAAACCTGCAGTGAGAGGCAGAATAAGAAAGGAGCAAACAAGGCACATGATGAGGTGGCATCCAAACAGACGGCATCCTGCTGTGTCCTCCAGAAGTGCTCCCCTCCGACCTGTGCTACCCTCGCCGCTGCTCCTCGGCCAAGACGCTCTGGCTAGTCCATGACAGCGGTCAAGGGCTTTGTTTTACAGGCCAGGCTCCAGGTGCACACCTCTGCAGCCCCCATTGGATGCTTTGACTGGTTTCCACTTCAGCAGGTGCAGCTCCAATCTGGCCCAGGCTGCGTGTCCCTCCTGGCCTTTGTCATCCTTTCCCACACCCACCGCACCAAGCGTGTCCTGTAAAGTCACGTGACTCCTGCTACCACCGGGCTGACAGTCAGCCTCCACCGTCAGCTGCCACCGTTGCTGGCTCCCAAGAGCAGAGGCCAAGGCCCTGACTTCCCGCCTCCCCAAGTTGGAGGGTGAGAACCAAGGGTGTGTCTGGAAGACTCCTGGGTAAGCAAACACCTGGAACACCGGGGAAGCCATGGCCTCGCCCCCAACGTCCTCAAGACAACACACTTTCCAAAGGGCCGCCGGCTACCACAGAAAATACTCCCTGAGATACCAAGCTACCTACATTTGGTCCTAGCTACCCAGAAACTGTGAGCAAGGGGTGGTGACCGGCTCGGGACCGGAAGACAAAAAAAGTGGGGGGAGGGGGGTCATCTCTAAAAGCTGAAATGACGCTAAAGGCCAGTGAGAAGACAGAGTGCACAGCGCTTCAAAAGTGCCACCTGCCAGTCACGTGTAGAAGGGAAGCCACTGACCTCCACAAGGCATGCAGGCAGCTAGTGATCAGAGACAGAGTCGGAACAAAATACGCCGTAGAGCAGAGAATGGAGAGGCTCACATTATACCATAAGAGGGAACTTAAATACACTTAATTAACCTTGGCTAGGGGCAATTAGAGAAGGGTAATAAAGTCCTTCACAGATCTGATCAAAATGAATTATAGCTTGCCAAAATCTTACTCCTTTATGACCCGATGTAGTTTTGTTAGTCAGGAATCGGTTTTCATGTTTGCAACGAGTCACAGATTGATATAATTTCACAGCAAACGAGGCAATAGAGATGATTCATCTCACTTCCATATTTTCCGGCCATAGGCACTGAGGCCCACAGAGACAAGCAGCGTGCCGTGCCTCACAGCGTGCCTCATTAGAGTAGAATCAACGCTGGACACAGGCACGTCTGTCACAGTGGTTCTGTTCCGAGTGGCCGATGCCACCCAATAGTATCAAAAGATCTACTGCAAGTATTGAGAAACCTCATTAGACAACATTATCAAAATGGAGAGTTATTGTTTCTCAGCATGGCCTCCATCTAGGTCTAGACCACTGGTTCTCAACCTGGGGGTCATGATCCCTTTGGTGGTCAAACAACCCTTGCACAGGGGTCGTCCAATTAATAACTATAGCAAAATGACAGTGATGAAGTAGCAATGGAAATAAGGTTATGGTTGGGGGTCACCACCACATGAGGCACTGTATTAAAGGGTCTTGGCATTAGGAAGGTTGAGAACTGCTGGTCTAGACACTTCGGGAAGAGGTGTTTCCATCTCTCAAGCACGCCCCTTCTTGAAGAGACGGAAATACCATGGCTTGGGTCAGGGGCACCTTGATCCTCAGAGTAACATCCTTGCTTTCCAATGCTCTAAAGAGGTCTTGTGCAGCACAGCTGCCTAACACAGCGCAGCGCGTCTTTGGATCTCTTGACTGCTGCTTCCGACTGAGTGTCAAAGGCGGGACCAGAGAGTGTGTGTCACACTACTGTGTCCAGGGTGGCGATGGGTCACAAGGACTCCACGGCACATGACAGCAGCAGCAACAACCCTTCCCCGAAGACCTTCGGTTGACAACGCATACAAATGGCAGTTTCAGATCCCTGAGGGATTCAAACGGTTTACCATTCAAAGCTCTTAGAGTTTGGGGAATAAAAAACAGAAGTGTGAAAGGGCAAGCACAGAAATGTAGGGTAACGGGCAAGGTTTGCCAAGGAAGCTCTCTGAAGGCAGTCCTTGTGTGATGGAAAAAAGACCTCAGTACAACTAGCCCGGCCTTTTCTCATCCTGGGGTTTCCCAATTTTCTCTAAAAACTTCCTTCATCCATAAGTCCCCGCAATCATCTGTGCTCTTTGAGAAAATTTTTCAGGCCTACCCTTTTGGGATCCCAAATAAAACAGTCACCATAAGGTTCTCAGTAGACCTTCCTCTCTGAATCGTATTAGTCAACCCACGCCTCCTCCCTGGTGAGGAGTCACCCCCTAACATTGTCATTAGCTTCAGTCTTGCTTAAAAGACCGACAAAAAGACCTGCGCTTTGAACTAGTAGATCTTAAACAATGCTTTTGGTACCCACGAAGCTGAAAGCTTGCTGAAGCCAAGATGTTTTCTTCGCCCCATTGTCCCTGTAGTCAGAAGCCCAGGACATCCTCCACTCTGCCAACAGGGCTCCTGCAGCCATCCGTAAAATGCTTGATTCATCAAAACTTATTGTCCCACGAACTTGTTGCAAAGATTCTAGAGGATGTAGGAAGATGGCCACTTGAATTCTGTTTACAAAACTAGCTAACACTGACCTCAAAATCAATTTTTTCCAAAGAAACCAACTCTTTTGCTTTTTTTTTTCTCCAGGCACCCAATCCAGACTAAAGGTGTACTGGTCATGCGCTAGACTGCTAACCACAAGGTCAGCAGTTTGAAACCACCAGCAGCTCTGAGGGAGAAAGACGAGATTTTCTACTCCTGTAAAGAAGTACAGCTTCAGGACCCCCCCAGGGGCAGTCCTACCCTATAGGGTTATAAGTTACAGGTCAGGGAGTTGGTTGGTTGGTTGGTTTTACTTTTCTACTACTTGCTGGCTGAGTGATGTTACGTCCGTTACCTCAGCTCTTTTGTGTCTGACATGTTTATGGGTAAAAGCAGACTGACTTTACAGCGAACACTGGTGAGAAGAAAATGAGTACGGCTTAACCTCTTGGCTAATGTAAGTTCAGGGTTAGCTACTTCCACTCTGCTGTCATTGAGTACAATCTGAATGAAGTCATGCTTCAATGAGATGGGTTGAGAAACTCATCTAGCACACAGTGCTTAACATAAGGCATGCACTCAGCCAATGGTCGCTATTAATGGTATGCACTGCTAATTAGTCGTCCTTTAAGAAGCCCTGGTGGCACAGTGGGGTACACAGCAGGTGGCTTGCGGAGAAGTCAGCAGTTCCAAACCACCAGCTGCTCTACAGGAGTAAGATGAGGCCTACTTGTCCCATGGAGACTAACAGCCTTGGGTTTCCACTGGGTCACACAGGGTCACTATGAGCTGAAATCAACTACATGGCAGTGTGTACGGTGTTGCTGGAGAGTTATACTTTGTTTGCTGAGATGATCCTTAGATTTTTTTTAAAATGAATTTCAAAGCAGTTCCTTTACTAAATGTAACCTCATATAACTTTAAGTAGGTAGGGAGACTTTTACATCACTTTATGAATAAGGTTTGTTCCTTGCCACCGTGGGGCTTTTTCAATGCTGAACTGTTCACTTCCCTTCATTTCACATAGTGAGCCCTGGAGGGGCAGCAGGTAAGTGCTCAGCTGCTATCTGGAATGTCAGCAGTTCAAACCCACCAACAGACACTCAGGAGACAAGGTCTGACAAACAGCTTCAGTATAGACTCACAACCTCAGAATCCCACAGGGGCAGTTCTACCATAGCGTTCACTGACCACGGTTTCAAAGAAAATCCCCGGAGCCTAATTCCAGGAAGTTTTATGAAAAGCTCTGTATGATCCCCTAGCCAGAGTCCAACAGAGCCAGAAACACCAGGCCACAGGGATCAACAGTTCACTTCCAATCATTTCAAATCAACTTTCCCTGGAGGAAGCCCTTGCTGTCATCAGGGAAGTCAAAAGTCACCCCTACTTGAAATCCAATACTCCTCACACCAGTGACCTCACGGCAGGGTCAGTACTTACTTGAAAAGGGAATTTTTGGGCCTTTGAGGTTTCTTCTTGGCAAAGAATGCTGCAAATTCGCGGCCAGTGCTGGCATAGCTCAGCTGAGCCGACGGTTCCGAGGCCGTGCGAGTATTTTTCATGTCCAAGTACTCCGTCAACAGCATCTGTGTGCAATCACAGAAACCATTTCCATTATAGTGCATAGTAGAGAAAAACAAGGGTTAAATCCAGGAAAGTCTAATTCAAAAACCTCATCCTTGATCCCCACGAACAGTGACTTGGCCAGTCGTTCACTGTTCCAGTAGAAGCTCTTGGGAAAGATTCGTTTCTACTGCCACCTAGTCCTAAGCCTAGGGACATAGTGTGGTGGGCACCGAAACATGGGGCAAGGGGATGGTTTTGTTACTGAGTGTCCCCTACCCGTGAGGTGCGGTACTAAATTAACCAGTCCAACCATCCAGCCATCATTTAATCCTCAGCATTCCGAATTACAGCAGGACCGGCAGCAACACCTTGATATGCACGTTTACTGGGTGCTGTCTCTGCTCTGGACAAGGTGCTAATCCAGGAGGATGCATGATCCAATTGAAAGCCGAGATTGCATCTGGATGGCTATTAGATTGCATTATGAGATAAGGGGATGAGAGTTTAGGGAGCTTCAGGAGTTGCTGGAGTGAAAACAAGTGAGTGTGTTCGCCCCTCCCTCTAGCCCACCATGCTGGACCTCCACTCCAGCAAACCTGCCAATGAGAGGGGCTGGAGGCCAGAGGGAGCTGAGCAGTCCCGACCCACAAAGAATTTCTAGAACCACTACTCAGCTTGAGAGTTGCACAGCAAGGAAAGTAAGTATCCTTTGATCTCCTATAACCAGTGGATCCTGCGTATAAAAGCCATCCATTCTAGAGCCATCCTAGGGCCAGGACTAAAATGATCTATCCCACTCTCTCTATGGCCAGCACTCTAAAATGTTCCCATTGTTTGATAAACAAGAGATTCCAGAAGAAATGACCACTGCTCCTAAGAACATCTGACCTGACACTGAAGCACATCAGCTCATTTCTGTCATCACTGGTCTCATGTATAAAGCCAAAGCAGGCAGGAACACAGAGGAGCAGCGATTCCACCCACAGCTGAAGCAAAAGCTTTGGAGGGACTCGAGGTGCTACATGCACATTCATCTCTGCATGAATGTGCAAGTGCACGACGAAGGCCTGAGGACATCATCATCATCATCATCACTTTATGAAACACACTTTTATGAAGCACCCCATGAACGTGACTCTGTCCCCTGTAGGATTCAAGGCAGTTAAACCTTTAGCATAAACACATGAACATACACGACAGAGTACTTCTTACCTCCCAGAGATGTTAGAAACACAAGTCCTACTTGACCCTCAAAGCAAATCTATGAGGTAAAAGTTACTATCTGCCTTTTAGAGAGGAAGAAACCGAGTTAGGGATATTCAAAAACTAGCCTCGTGACAGGATAACAGGCCAGGGCTTCAACACAGCTTGAGTTGATTCAAGGCCTGTGCCCTAACCCAGGGCGTCCCACACCCACGAAGAGCATACACACTGCCTCAAAGACCGGGGCCGTGACAGCACTCAATCCATCTTACTGAGGCGTCTTCTGTAAAGTCAAGGTGACCCCAAGAAAGCATAAAACACGTGAACGGATTGGCCAGTTTAAAATAATTTTGTATAAGAACTGGAGGGCGTTACTTGGCAATGTGACAAACACTATCTCTGCTAACACAGCACCCAAGGTGCCAACAGTCCGGGGCACTACGGAGGTGGAGCTCTACAGCGAGGGACTCCTTCGGGTTGCAGGCACGCCTGCTGATGGCTGGTTTTTCAGCAACCAGAGACCAAAAAAGGGCTTGGAAACGCACACAGAACTTGCAAACTGATGTAAGCAGATGGCTACAGATGCCCTGTTCGTTCATGCCTTGGTTTAAAGACAAGCATAACAGAGATGCGTCTGTACCAAAGCATGGTGACAGAGGCAACCTTAAAGGTCTTGTGCTGTACCTATTGTCTCGAATTCAAGAGTGAAAGGGTCACGTTAGAGGAGTTTCCAGGGGTAAGGTGACTTAATCCACTCAGGGACATAGGACATAGTACTGAAAACCTGCACATGTCAACCACTGGAGCACTGCGACGGACCACGTCAGTCATCACGGTACTGTATGCCTGTGATGGGATACTAAGTCAATCTACACGAGTCACGTGCTAACATTCGTGGGGAGCTGTGTGCTGACTATATGAACTCACAAGTATCAGGTTTCATATTAACACTAGATAAATAATGCTTCCTTTATTCTATTCTGTAAAGATCACACACACATAAAAGAAGATCCTGTCCGGGACCTGAGTCACGGTATTTACTGTGCCTTCCTTTGTTAGAAATTAACATATATTTGGGTTGCTATCTTAACGCATAAATTGTACATTTCGTTTTTATGAGCCGCTCACTCTTTCACCTTCATTCCTGACAATATAACAACACAAAAACTGAAACAATATATGAATGCTGTTAAAAATTAAGGCCATGAATTACAATGGCTCGAGACGATCTTGTCTCCCTAGGAGGCTGCCAGCAAATGGAACGGTAAATGGGGGAGCTGAGTTGTTTTTTTTTCAAGCTAGCATTCTAATTCCCCCCATTGTACAAGGACTACAATATTCTGCAGAAAGGAAGCCAAAAGAAAAATAAACACAGTCATTTTGAAAATGGAATGGCTGCCTGCTTAATTACACTCATTATGGATGGTAATTGTACAGTTGCAACCACCATTAGGATGGTCTCGTGAAGAGCTCCTTGCTTTAGGAACTATTGTGGAAAACAAACAGACCACAACATGCCACCAATAGCAAATTCCAGATAGGTAAAGCTGGGCCCACAGAGCTCACTTTTAGCTAGTTTTGGGGTTTTCTGCTCTTTAACCCAACAAAGGGGTTCTTTGACACTAACAACAAATGGTTTTTTAATAGCTTCCCAAGAGGGCTATTAGATTTTAAATTGAATATATAGTTCACGCATAAATGATGCCAAGGGTTGGGCTCGGTTTAAATGCAGAAACAAAGGTAACCCCTATGCTAAAGGTGCACGTCTAGCAGTGGCGTCCCTGGAGAAGGACATCATGCTTGTTAAAGTTGAGGGGCAGCAAAAAAGGAAGAAGGCTCTCCGGTGAGACGCATGGACACGGTGGCAACAACCATGGACGCAGACATCAGAACCATTGTGAGGGTGGCACGGGCCTGGGCGGAGTTTCCTTCCGTGGACGGGAGGGTTGCTATAAATGAGCAGCAGCAGCAGCAGCAGCGGAATCAAGAACCGGTCCAGGAGAGCTGGTACCCTAGCACATATTCGAGAGGAGGACTGCTATGAGCAGGTATCGGCGGGCAAAAGGGCTCCCAACTAGGATGGCCCCAAAGGTCTCAAGATAATGGCACTTATAGAAGGGCACGCAGAGACCCTCAAAGGTCCACACACTGAAAACACGCAAGGTGGATCAGAATAGGCAAAGAAAACGTGCTGGGAAATTCAGGGTCTCTTTGGTGCATACCAGGCAGGAGCCCTGGTGGCACAGAGGCTAAGCAGTTTGTACCCACCAAGGTGGTGCTTCCGGGGACAAAGACTTGGCAGTCTGCTCCTGTAAGGATTTACAGCCTTGCCAGTGGGGCCTGAGGCAGCCCACAGCCAGTCTACAGAGTCACTATGAATCAGAATCAACTCGCTGGCAACAGATGCTTAGCAAATATCCAATCATTCAGGAGACATAAAAAGGAAGACCAAGAGGCCTACCCAGACAGATGGGACATGGAGGAACGGCTAAAGGCCTTTGATATCAGGCTTTGCACTATAATACAAAAGGCAGGGGTAATAAAGAGTGTTGGACAAGTAAATAAAATAGTAATAAATATACTTTGAGTAAATGAATCTGCCAGTGTACGAAACAGATGGGAAACTGATGGGAGCAGGGACAAAATCAATCACTGAAAAAAATTCCATAAAGGGCAAGGGGTAAGGAGAAAACAATAATCTCTACTGAAATAGTCCAACTAATAATTATAAAGAAATTTTAAACTAAAGTAGCTGGTAATAAGATGGCATCATTTGGGATAAATTTGAGGACAGAGAAAAATGAACAAAATGTAACTATTTATTCTGCAACAGAAACAGCAGGAAAAATAAAAACACTGAAAGCTTGTGCATCTAAGTGACTTAAAATATATATGGCTCTGTGAATAATAATGAGGAAAACAAGAAAAGTTAAGTTTAGGAGAGACAACAAATTTAGTTGGAAGATAGTACTCCCGTGCAAAGCACATGAATATTCATGTATACTCTCAAGTACATAATGTGAAAGGGAAAATAATGCTGATGAGCTTTCCATGATTTATAAATTAATTAACTTATGTTAGGACTGCTAAATGCATGTCTATAAGCTCATAAAAAATTACCAGCCTCTGAAACAAACTTTTAAGTATTTATAATCTGATCCTATCACATAGTACATTTTGAAGTAGTTTGAGGTATAAGTTAAATAGCATAAGATTCATCTGCTATGATGTACAATTTGATGATTTTTAATGAACGAATTCAGTTATGTAACCATCTTAACAATTTTAGAACACCACAGTGCAGTGCAGGGGTCCTCAAACTGTAGCCTGCTGAAGACATCTATCCAGCCCGCCGGGAGTTTTCGCCGTTTTGTTTTTTACTTCAAAATAAGCTATGTGCAGTGTACATAGGAATTTGTTCATAGTTTATTTTTAAACTATAGTCCAGCCCTCCAACGGGCCTGAGGGACAGTGAACTAGCCTCCTATTTAAAAAGTTTGAGCACCCTAGGTGTAGTGGGGTACATGCTGGGCAGCCAATTGCACAGTCAGGAGTTCAAAACCACCAGGTGCTCCACTAGAAAAAAGATGAGGTCATCTACTCCGGTAAAGATTCACAGTCTAGAAAATCCACAAGCATAGTTCTACTCTACCCTAGAAGGTCGCTATAAGCTGGACTCGACTCTGGTTGGATCATCTCAAAAAGCCCCCTATGATGTATGCTGCAGTGTTTTCCATACAGACCTTCTTAATCAGATTCAGAGAGCTCCCTCTTTCAATCCATTGTGCTAAGAAGGGTTATCTTGATTTTTTTTTTT